TTAATAAACGGAACCAATTATCATGTATATGTAGCTGTTAATTGGCATGCATTTTCATGGGTCATGTATATATATGACGTACGAGCGTGTACATATATATGGATATGCCCACAAATTCACACACATACAGTACATGCATTTATGGCTTTCTGTTGGTTCTAATAAGGACCTGTGCTTGCCTTCTGTTTCTGCAAAAAATTGTTAGCTAGCTTCCATTGATGAAATGGGAGAGTGAATAGTTATCATAATTAATTTAAAACTTTTTTCTTAGATTATTTTAGAGAATGTACTTTTTTAATTTGTTATTGAATTATAAAATTAATTGTTTTTAGTCAACTGGTCAAATGATTGGATTGTTTTTGTGCAAATAATGTCAAAAGTTAGGGTGTGCAAACCTTTTGGCTCTCTTAATTATAAAAGATTATTGGTTAATATGACTCAAAAATGAATGCTATTTATTTATTTAAACTTGTACAAATACATGAATATAGGATTTAATAGAACGAGTCTGAGAAAGGGCAATAGGAGGGGCTCATGTGGTGTACCGTGTATCCAATGCACTTGGTGCGCAGGCAACGCATCAGCAAAAACCAACATGGGTCTATATTGTATTTTTGAACGCATTGAAATATGCATTTGCTCACCAAAACAGTATCGTTTGATGCACAACAGGATCCTCTAACATGAGGGGATCCAAGTCCCTGAGAAAGGCCAAGCAAAATTAGGCCATTATTTGTTAAATTTGTATCTTTTCGACTTTTAAGTAATATAATCGATCATTCGGGTGGAGCATCAAGTCTCATTCACTAGACAAAATTCTGATGTTCCAGTATTGTCAGCTATAGTCCATGTTTTTCAGCATCCTTCCTCTCAAGGGGTCCAAGTTGCTACATAAAATCAAATATATGGACTCGATTCTATGTTATAAAGAAAAAACTGAAAGAAAAACCATCACCACATAAAATGCATAAAAGAAAATCCCATGAACAACATTGATGATTTTTTATTTTATTTTATTTATTTATTTATTATTTTTATCATCATTGTGACATTTTCTCAAGTTTAATTGCCCTATTAATTAAGTTGCAAGCAATGTTCAATCATTTCAAGGATTCAAGAGGAAAAATAGATATTCAGTGCGTTCGATGCACCGGGCTAACCGGAGTCGTACGTGATATACACGCACCGGCATATGTTATATATGCACAACTCTAATTAGTTGGATGCACGGTGTACCAGGCGCACCAAATACCTATTCCAATCGAGGATCTTGTGCACCTATTATATATGCATCAAAGTGCGCATTCCAATGCAAACAGCGCGGAGCCTCGAAATGGGACCCACATAACTATGGAACAAAATGGGAACGTGCGCATGATTCCCTTCCCACAAAAGGGAATTAGGGTTCCATCTCTTGATCAGTAACAAAAATTACTATGAGCTTGATTTTTTTTTTTTTATAATTTATTTGAAGAAATATATCGACTTGTTAACTACTTATAGTAACCTAGCTAATTAAAAAAAAAAACCTAGCTAATTAACCTAGCTAATGCATCAAAACAAGAGGCTAAAGAAGAAAAATAGAGATCCATATGAGTAAAATGTTTCTCTCTTAGAAGGTAAAATTACAGTGAAGAATAAAATGTAAATTAGTTGGAACATCTTAAGCCTAGGAAGAGCAAGAATTTAGGCTAAGGCAAGAGACAAAGTTGGAGCAGAGTATATGTATGGAGAGTGTTGTATTGTTGTAATGATTAATGGGCACACATGTGAATAGGTGGGTACGTGATTTGTCTGTGTGGAATGGAGACAATGTTGGAAGCAAGAAACAATGCCAGCTTATATTTTAATATGTACATAAACTCTGATATATGTGTGTGTGTGTATATATATATATCTTATCATGGTACAGTCTTTAATGTATATAGAATTTTATACATTCTCAGTAACTAGGGTTTAGAGGAACTCCCTTTTTGGTACCATGTTCTTCTTCCATAGACTGGTTGGTACAGGTTTCTTGAATTGGAGGACGAGTTGGCAAGCCAAAAGGGGTTACTGTGTGCGCGCGCGCAGGTGTGTGTATATATAACAAGGGTTGGTGTATTGGCTGTGAAACCATTTCTACCGAAAGAGTTGTGATACAGTGTCCGAAAGTCTGACTACTCAGGTTAAAAAAAAAAGACAGATATGTTCGACTTTTCATACACTTTATCATTTTCCGTATTTGAATGCCTGATTGATTTAGGAACACCTATGGTACAAGGTTCATTTGAATGTTGATTGATTGTGCAGAAAACTATATATTTATAAATTATTGAAAGAATATGCATAAATTATAGTGCCAGTCTAGGCAATTTGAAAGGTTCGTTTTGTTTGATAGACAGCATATATACATTCAAATTCACGTATTGTAAATACCTTATGAATGCTTTTTGTATCCACCAAGTGGTGGATTACAAAATTAGTTCTTCAAAAACAATCAACAATAAGTCCACAGAATTAAATGCAACAATTGTAAAGAGGCCACGTGAAAAGGAATTTGGAAGAGAAAAAAAAAAAAAAAACCGAGTGAAAATGCCAAAGAAGTCTGAAGAGAATTGCACTACAAGATTTATGTATTTTAATTTTCTACATATATTCTTTAAATAATAATTCTGAGATTGTCCCTCTCAATATTCCTCTAATCATCTAATCTTTTTAATGCCTATTATATTGTTTTGGGTCTCCATTATAAAATTTATTTGAAACAAAAAAAGAATATTCCAGTTTATAATGAGTTCAAACCTAAACTCATTATCCAAATCTAATAATATTAACCTCTAAATATATAATTAAAACTAGGACTATTTATTGAAACAGTAAGGACAATCACCATTTATCATTTTGCGATTATCCTTTTGCAAATAAAAAAAATTATCCACTCCAAAGTAAATTTTGACTTCATCCCTGTTGAGTACGTGTTGATGGTATTCTGATCCTTTCCAGAAGAGTGCTTGCATTTTGTGACGGAATGAATGAATATTTATGCTCTTGCCCATACATGCACACACACACACACACACACACACACACACACACACACATATATATATATATATAGATAGAGAGAGAGAGAGAGAGAGAGAGAGAGAAAATGAGGAAATTTTAAATTTAACAGTGCAAGGATCCTAAAAAGAAGCCTAAAATTGAATCATCTCTACAAATTAAGAAAAAATAGGATATGAAAATCGCTAAAAGCAACCCAATACTAAAAATCACAATAATTCAAATTTGTTAAAACCTCTAACAAAAATCATGAAATATTCAATAGTCTTTCTACAGGACATAAAAAAAAAAAATACAATTTCGAGGCATTAAATAATTGAATTCAATGGAAAAACGACATGAGCCACTAGAAAAAGATAGCAAGTTTCGATTATTGGGTCGTTTCTCATCTAGAATGAGTTTTCAGTCGAAAACAAGTTGGTCGAACTGAAAAAAAAAAAAAAAAAAAAAAAAAAAAAAAAAAAAAAAATGATATCACAATCAAGAAGAGTCATTCTAGCCATTAAAAGATGGTGAGAATAGATGTGGTTTAAGTTGAAACTGATGGTTGTGAACTACGGTTTTAAAGAATGTGTGTAAAATATAGTTGATTAATCAAGTGTGATTACCTATATATCCACTGTATTTAAAGCTCTATTAATATTTCTAGTAATGTTATACCTTCCCGTGCTTGTTCATTGTTTTGTTCTTTAACAGTTTAACTTACACATCATATTAATCCATTCTATTAGCCAACTAAACAATATATATCTGTGTGTGTGTGTGTGTGTGTGTAGCAGTTTTGGGATGTTGATTCAATTTTTTTGTGATTTTATGTTAAACAAACACAGAAGTATGAGGGCACGTGTAGAGAGAGAAAGAGAGAGGACAAAAAGTGACGGCTGGATTTGGGGGTAGAGAGAGAAGTACTGACTCCAAATACCCCGTGAGGGGTGTTTGGAGGGATCCAAAAATCATAACTAAACATCCATTTTGACGCTTCCCTTCGCTGCTTTCGATAACAGCATAAGAATACATGTATGACAATCTACGTGTGTACGTACTCCCTGTAGTAGTAGAGTAGTACTATTATATTTCTATAATAATAATATTCACGCTCCCAATCCAACCCATGATCACGAGCTCATGATTCCCTCCCCCCTACTCGTCAGTCCCTACCCTCCCCTCGTGTTAACTAAGCATCCACGGCCCCATTCCCCATAGCTTTCGTCAAATTACCCTTCTACCCCCCTCTATATTTATGATAGATATGGTTTGAAGGTTAATGATTTATCTTGCGTGTTAATGTTCATCAGTGCATGGCTCAAGGTGGTTACAACAAATTAGATTCAATTTCGTTATAAATATCCAAAAGATAACTTTTTTGTCCCATTTTTGTTATTGAGGGATGTGTCAATTATTGAGTTTGACGGGCATATGAAAAAAAAAAATCGTACCATTATTAAATATTGACAAAAATCCTTGTTGAACATTGGATATTATTAGGGTACATCTATCAAGTTGCATATATTTTGATAATATACAGATGATGATCGACATCTAATAATTGAAATATTTAAATGAAAAAAATGTGATAGTAATATTATAAAAGAATTAAAAAAAATTAATTCCAAGTTAAAATTAAATTTTTTCCATTTGCAATTGCAATGACAGCTTATTCAATACTACCAAATCCAATACTAATTTAAAAACAAAAAATAATAATAATAATAATAATAATAATAATCCCATCTATGAAGGCAGTTCTTTATTAGGAGTATAATTTAGGACGTCTATGCCGTATATATTTGATGCTTGTTGAGCATTGAACATCCTAGGAATTGTACCATTCAAAAAAAAAAAAAAAAAAAAACGTCCTAGGAATTGCCACCAGATTATTATTTTTGTATTAAAATGCTAAAAGGGCAAATTTGTAATTTCAAACAGAAAAGGCTATATTATATAGCTCGATAATTGGTTGTGTACGAGCTGAGGTAGTCCTTGTGGGAAGAAAAAGAGAGAAGAAGAGAGATCTAGAGAGAGAGAGAGCTGAGAGATAGAGAGAGAAGTTATGGTTTCTAGGGAGAACAAGAGAGCAGCAGTGCATGAGAAGCTGCAATTACTTCGTTCTATTACTAACTCTCATGCAGTAATTCCCTGCAGTTCTCTGGCCATTCCTTCTTTCATTGGCTTTCTTTTCTAACTCATCTCAGATACAAGCTATATATATATATATATATTTTATAGAGAGAGATAATAATAATAATAATACTTCTTTTTTACCATTTTGTTAATTATGAAATTCTTGGTTTTTATAGTTGACCCTTTTCTCATGTCTTTCCTAACTTTCATACCTCCAACTACGATTTTTTTTTGTTCTCCATTAATTATTGCTTCCTTCCTCTATTTTCTCTCACTCTACCCCTCCTATCTCTCTCTGAAATTCTCATTAATTAATTTTCTATGTCATCTTCCCTCACTTAAAAAAAAAAAAATTTCTTGAAAGATATCAAAGAAAATAAGAATAAAAATTAATTTCTACATTTACCGGGAAAATAAAATTAATTTCTGCATTGTACTAAGAAAGGTACCGGAATCAAATTAAAGGACAAAAAGCTACTGCTATATATATGAGTTTACATTAATTATCACCAAAACAGTGGCACAAGTGGATTCTAACTAACTGTGAATTTTATTTTGTTGCAGCTAAGCGAAACCTCCATTATAGTAGATGCATCAAAGTATATAGAGGAGTTGAAACACAAAGTAGAAAGACTGAATGAAGACATTGCAATTGCAACAAATTCAAGTCACCAAAATTCGTGGCCTGTGGTACTTTTAATCTATCTAATTACTATTTTTGTTCTTTTTTATTTATTTATTTTCTCTCCCCTTTCTAATGAAGGATTTTGTGGAAGTGAAGGATTAATTTGTTTAACATTGTTATTGTATTGTTGATCCTATTAATTAATTAGTTGATGAGAGTACTTGTGCGTTGTACCTGTATTGCAGCAAATTACAGTCAAAACCCTAGAAAAGGGGTTTCTAGTTAATCTATATTCAGAGAAGAGTTGCCCTGGCCTGCTTGTCTACATATTGGAAGCTTTTGAAGAGATAGGTCTTAATGTGCTGGAAGCTAGGGTTTCTTGTGCAGACAGCTTTCAATTAGAAGCAGTTGGAGGAGAAGTAAGAGAAAACACCTCTATCTATATATATACAAGAAGATTAATACTTGCTCTAATACATGCATGTACCACATCTTCTCTCTCTCTCTCTATATATATATGAACTTATATATACACATGCCAAACACATACACGCATCATTCCCTTGTGTGTTGCAATTTATTACTTTTGTTGTTAACTAGGCATGAATAAATATTAATTTCATGTATGTGCACTTATATGTATTGACATGATCTTGAATAAATATTAATTTCATCATTTTTTTTCCCGGTAATTTATTAATCTCATCATTGTTGTTGCAGAATGAAGAGAATATTGGAGAAATCATTGATGCCAAAGTGGTGCAGCAAGCAGTGTCTAAGGCCATAAAGAACTGGACTGAAAGCAATGAGGAAGATTAATGGAACATCTATAAATAGTTTTCTCTAGTTCTTGTCTTCCATTTTCAATATTTCATGTAGCTAGGTTGGTTGGTTATATCGCGAATCAAATGAATCAGTCTATTGAATATTGTTATAGCACGTGGTATGATTTCTCCTCCCCAAAGGGAAGGTTGAGTATTCGAGCCTAGTAGGAGAAATATTGTAGATGTATGTGTGTTTGTTTGAACTTTCGAAAGTTCAAAGTTTTTTTTGGGTAAGGCAAGTCTAGTGCAAGTTATGAGCAATAGAAACACAAAGAACTCTAATATATATATATATTGAAGAGAACCATAACACCAAAAAAGCTACAGAGAAGAAGCAATTAAAGGCTGCTAAGGCAGCATCCAAAAAGAGCAAGAAAGCAGGCTCAGACCAAATAAACTAAAATCAAATAACAAAACTGCCTCCCAAGACTTAGCAAAGTCCAAGAACCATCTAATTACATGTAATAACAGAGCTTGAACACCGAGCATTAAGCAAAGTCCAAGAACCATATATCTAATTAAATGTAATAAACACAATGCAGGCCCTAGAGCTTGAGAACTTGGTTAATATTTGAAGAAATTAACTGGTGGCGCTTTTTGCGTAATGAAGAAGTGCATGGACATCTTAGTCCAAGTAATCACAATGTCTTGGGAGTACTAGCGACTTTAATTTAGATTTAAAAGAAATTTAGTTAAATTTATAGTGCTCGATTTTAACTAAATTTCTTTCAATTTTAAATTCAAGCGACGAATTCGGTACTCCCAAATATAGCAATATTAATTCAATAATAATAAAAAAAACCTTCAACTGCCCTATGTGACGGAAATTAATTACAATGACTTACCTTGCTTTACATATGTTCTGTTAATGCCTGTCAAGAAATTAAATATAAAGGATATTCCATCTTATATTGTTAGTACTACGAAGTTCAAACAGTGCAATTACCCAAAATACCAAAAAATAATAATAATGGCAATAATAACATGAGTTAGATTCGGGTTAAACCTGGGTTGCCCAACACAAGCAACACCCCTCTCAAAAATCAACCAAAATAAAAAAATTAAAGAGCTTTTCAAAGGGGTCCAAAAAGAGATTCGGACTTTAGTTATGTTTGGATTGGCCCAATAAAGATTTAGCCCAGAACATGGACTTCTCCGAGGATTTCCCACGCTATAAAAAAAATATAAAAAACTCCTGATAATTTTAGTATATTACATATATATATATATATATATATATATATATATTTCACTTATTATAGTGTATTAAATTTTATTATATACATGCACTATAAAAAAATTTATATTATTATAGTGCATTAAATTTTATTATTTACATGCTTAAGCTGCAACGAGGGCATGAGGGATTGCCTAATCCAGTCATTAGTTCAAGTATCCTTCCAGCAATGTGCACATGCAGCACATGTAATGTATGAATGTGAAGATACAAGAAATTCCTTCCCTCTTTCTCTCTCTAGAATTCCTGTATTTCAACCAAAAAAATATCTCCCCTTTCTTTCCATTACTTCTCCTATTTATAGATATTTACAAATGTTGATAGACTGCTGGATCTAGGCCCGTTCCTCCATGAGTCCTGGTCATCTTTGATGGGCTTATGCGCGTTCGGCCCATATGGCAGTGTCTTTCTATGGGCCTGACCCATCTGTACGGACTGAATGTCGCGTTTGCAAGTCATATCCGGCCCATGTCATCTCGGGCCTCCTCAACTGCCCCCATAATTACCCCTTGTTTAATAAGGGGGTAATTATTGAAGGCGTCTCATCATGACGTTGACGGCTCGAGAAACCCACATGGGGGAACGGACGGTCAGATCCAGAATCAATGTTCCGGGGCTCGATGAATTTCTCGCCTTCCTGACGCTTCGGCCCTCGGGTCCCCCTCGCCTTTATAAGGCTCTAGAATACCACTTCATGCCTTTTTACCGTCTCCATCATCAATCAAATCTCTCTCTCTTTTTAGAACAGTGCTAAGTTTTTTCCGGTGAAATCCTTCAAGAGTCATTCTTCCAGCGGTCTTGCAGTGCTCTTTGTTGCTTTCTACCTCAGAGGTTAGTTTTGTTCCTTTTTACTTTCGGCAGGCTTCTTTTTACCCTTTTAGATCCTTCAAACACTTCCACCATGGTTGTAGATCTAGATGTTCTTCGTATGAGACTTAGACTTCCTGACAACATCCAAGTTAGGGTTTGCCCTAAGGATGTTAATATTATGACCGGTGCCGGCCTCCTTCCCGGTGAAGTTTTATTTTCAAACCTTCAACTGAATGTCGTTAGGTTCCCTCTGCACCCCTTCTTTAATTATGTCTTCAATAGACTGGGGATATCCCCCCTGCAGGTAAACCCCAATTTCTTTATAATTATATCCGTTATGCTACTGTTGATTCGTGACAGAAGTCTGGACCTTGACCTCATAGATCTTCTTCTGTGTTATAAGGTCAGTAAGATCCGAACTAATGAGCCCTTCTACCACCTCTACCTGATCGAGAAGATGTCCATATGTACGGACACAATCAAATCTGAAAAGGGTTGGAGGGATAACATCGTGGGCATTAGTGGGGCTTGGTCTTCGCCGGCTGCAGAGGATTACCCAATCCCGAGCGCCTTTGGCGTCTGTTCTGTTTCCTCATATAAGAAATTCAAATCTCACAAAAACGATTGCCCCTGCGAAACATGTGTTCCTCGCTTTTGTACTTTCTTATGCCGCTCCTTAGGAATACCTTGTGATGACTTGAGCTACAGTGTTTGCAGGGATATGAGTAATTACTTAAAGAAATACGTTCGGAACGATATTCCTTCCTACTCAGACCTCCTCACTTCAGACAACCTCCTAGCGCTCTCATCCCTCGGCTATACCATGAGCAGGCTTCAGATTCCCTCCTTTGGCAGGAAGAAAAATACTCCCCCAGCCACTTCTGCTGCTGGGGCAACCTCCTCTCTTGCATCAGCCTCTTCCTCAGCCACCATCTCTGACACCATCCCGAGCATGGTGGCTATTGACTCTGTTGTCAACACCCCTGCTACCAACCCGAGCGCGTCTCCACAAATCACTACAGCCCCTGCTGCCGCTGGGGGCGCTCGGGACAAAGAACGAGGCAAAAGGCCTCATCCTGACAGTGGAGTCGACCCTGAGGAGGAACCTCTCATAAGAAGGACCCGGGTCTCTGGGCCGGGTGCTCTCTTGCATCGCCCGGTCAGAGCTCCTGCCCCCTCCGGGCCTGTTGCAGCTGGTGCCTCTGCTTCTGCTTTAGGCTCCCCTTCTCTTCCCACTTTACCACCATGGGCTCCTCGATACACCCTAACGGATGGGACGTTCGTGAAGCCGAACGAGACCATGCTAAAGGATGGCCAGACCGCCATGGCGTATTATAGGAGCATGTGGACTCCGAAAAACCTTGAGGCGGCGAAAGGTCTATCCCAGAAGGATGTGTTCAGCCGCTTTCCCCAATCTGCCATGGAGGTGACTTTTATTTTCCAACTCATGAATCCTCTCATATTATTTGGTCTTGCCTTCGTCCGACCAGACTATCGGTTTAACCATTATTAATGTATATCTATGCAAACTTTGTTCGGAATAATGGCTATGCAGAAGCAGGTTGAAATGGGGAACGCCAGGGCTCGTAAGTTTTCTGATAGCCTGGAGGTGGCCAATAAGGAAAACGACCTTCTCGCCAGCAAGAATACCGATGTATTGGCTTGGCTTGAAAAAACTGAACAAGAAAGAGATGTCTTGAAGAAGGAGAACGACTCTCTTCAGGATGAGAAGGATGCCCTCCAGCTTGAAAAGAGCGTCTGGCAGACTGAGCGTGATTCAATCAGAGACGAAAAGGCAGAGCTCCAGCGCCTTCTGGCTGATGAACAGTCTGCTCGGATGGCTTTTGAGAAGAGAGCTCTGGACGAGCGTACTGCTCTGATTGATACCATCAGCAGAGTGAACGGTGGGATGCTGGCTCTTCATGCTCGGTTCTCAAGGGTCGGCGCTCTTAGATATGCTCAAGGATTCCGAGAAGGTTTCTCCAACAGAGTTCCGGATGAGGGACAGACCAGCTCAACTCCAGATGAGGTCGATAAGGATTTAGGGATTGACCCTCTGGGGGTCTATGTTGACCCAGAACCCACCGAAGCGGAGCACATATTTGATGAGTGCCAGGACATTGCTTCCTCTAGGATCACTACAGCTCCTCCTACCGCTCTGCCTCTAACCGCTCCTCAATCGTCAACTGTGGTACCTCCCATAGCCACTGCTGACGTTGGCCCCCAGTAGAATGACTCTGTTATTCATCTTGATTCCCCACCTCGTGAGGGTGAGATGGCTGATGGGACCGAAGAGGCGGGTCGGCACAACCAGGAGGCTGTCGGTACTGAGGCAGCTAGCTAGGACTCCTCCGGACTCTTCGATTCCATATTTTTTGTAACAATGTGACTTGAATATTTCATTTTTTGTAAATCCAATGCTTATTATGAATGAGATGACAGAACTCTTTTTCTCTTTTTCCTTTGTGTTGCGCTCTGTTCAAACCCATTTTCAATATATATATACCTTTTCTCTCTTTTCTTTTATATTAACTTTGTCGTGTGCTTGTTTATGGCAAGTGCTTGGCGTTCGGCTTGCGGTGCCAGCTGCCACTTATCTTGCTCAAGTGCCTGGCACTCGGCTAGAATGCCACTTGCCACTTGGCTTTTTTCATTTTTTTAACAAGTGTCTGGCGTTCGGCTTATGGTGCCAGCTGCCATTTATCTTGCTTAAGTGCCTGGCGCTCGGCTAGAATGCCACTTGCCACTTGCCACTTGGCTTTTCATTTTTTAGCAAGTGTCTGGCGTTCGGCTTATGGTGCCAGCTGCCACTTATCTTGCTTAAGTGCCTGGCGCTCGGCTAGAATACCACTTGGCTTTTCATTTTTGAGCAAATGCCTGGCGTTCGGCTTATGGTGCCAGCTGCCACTTATCTTGCTTAAGTGTCTGGCGCTCTGCTAGAATGCCACTTGCCACTTGGCTTTTTTCATTTTTTTAGCAAGTGTCTGGCGTTCGGCTTATGGTGCCAGCTGCCACTTATCTTGCTTAAGTGCCTGGCGCTCGGCTAGAATGCTACTTGCCACTTGGCTTTTCATTTTTTAGCAAGTGTCTGGCGTTCGGCTTATGGTGCCAGCTGCCACTTATCTTGCTTAAGTGCCTGGCGCTCGGCTAGAATGCCACTTGCCACTTGGCTTTTCATTTTTTAGCAAGTGCTT